CTTCTGTGGAGAAGCAGAGGCTGGGTGGAGGCGAAGGTGAATGGCAAAGTAGCGACGAGCGAAGTTACCTGTGGCACGAGCCGAACTAGAGGCAACGCGGCGGAGTCTTGGGAACGAGGTAGAGAATATGAATGGTAGGTAAGAGAGTCGGCATGAGGCTGGAGGCTTACGTTTTCTGCTGTCGATGACTGCATTAGGTTATTTTCGTACTCTCTACTCGATTGCCGTGCGAGCGGCCCACCCGCCCTCCCACTAACAGCCAAATGGCTGATCGGAATTGTCTTTGAAGGGTTTGGGTACCGCGGGAGTGTGGTCGCAGACGCAATGGCCTTCCCCACAATAAGTTAGTAGTGAGTACGGATCACGCGATGACGTTTAAGCAATACGTACCAAGGTGTGACACATCTCCAGCGAAGATAACAACTACAGCTAATCTATCTCTATTGCGTATGGTGCCGTCGGGTGCAAGCTGCTGCTGTGCTTTCGCCCTTGCCTCGTCCGTTTCAGTAATCCGCCGCCGAGAGACTTTCTTTTCATAGAAATCATACTTTAGTTGATTCTTTTGGCAGATGCACATGCTTGAAAGCGTTAAACATCCGGCGATTAAGATGAGGCGCAAGGAGTGAAGATGACTGACGACGCGCAAAGTCGGCATTGTTACTTGTCCGCTGACCGACTGAAATGTCAGTAGACGTACAATGGATGTGTTGTGCAAGTGTCGGAAAGAGTGAAAGGGAGTAGATTCCTACCACTTCAATAACCGTTACACGCCTGATAAGAGCGACTTATACCAACTAGCGTCCCAATAGTTTTGAATGACGTTATCTGGTTATATGCGCCTTTATTATCTGCGCAAGTCGATTTCACCTCTGTCGTACAGCCGCCCAAGAGCCAACCTAGGGAGACATTCACTAGTCATTTTCAATCCGCGACCTCTGTCATAAAAGACCACTTTTGGGAGGTCCTCCCTAGTTATTTCCGTGCGGTTCGGTCTTGTTCGTACCATGTTTAGAGCTTATAACTCCTTTAGTTGTTGCTCCATAGGTAAATGCCATTTTCTGTTACAAATAATGAAAGAGAGAAAAGGACTGAGAGGCCCGAAGAAGACGGGCTTTACGATTCAGAGCAGAGGTCGGCAAACCCTGAATAACTGTCACGGGTACTGGTGCCAGGGTCGAATAACTGTATGGATTTTTTTTGGTAAAAGCCGAGGAAAGAGTGTCTGCGGGCCGATGTACCAAACTTACTACGTTACACCATCGCTGTTAAAGGCACAGTTGTCTTGTTGCGCCCAATTACGGAGAAGTTTGTTCATCAGAAGTCGTATGCGAGCACAACCACCCACCGACTGCACGATTACCTCAGTGTTATCTGAGCAATCCGGCCAAACCTGCCTTTTGGGGGGAATTTCTGCACCCTGCCGTACGGCTGCCGTACCAGCGATGAAGAATAGAGTTGAATTTCTGCAACGGGTACAACGGAAGGACCCGCTGTACCAGCGCCATTTGCCGACCCCTGCTTACGAACGGAGAAAGAGACACCGCAACTGAACTAACGCGGGCTGCGCCATAAACGGGCGGGCGGGCGGGCGCGCGCTGAACAACAAAAAGCTAACCAGCTTAATGCGCGCAATAAATGACGGCCTGAGGACACGGGCCGTTGCGAAACAGTTAGTCTAAAGGTTACGCATTGGGCCTTACGCCCAACTAACCCAGCTTACTTAGGCAAGCTCGCATTAGTTGTTGTTCCATAGGTAAATGCCAAAGGAGAAGATAGAGGGACAAAGGACGCGAGAGCTGCCACCGTGACAGGCGCGCACACCGACACGAAATAGAGCTCCCGAAGCCAAACGCATCAACGACCTCCAAACGGTACCCCAGCAGCAAGGACAGCGGCCACGCCACCTCTACGCAGGCAAAAGAGCGGACAAACAGAACGCTGCCAAAAAGCACAAGTGCTAGGTCAAACCAGTGCTCTCCAACCGCGCACAGACTAACCCACCGGCCACAAACGCGACGGATCCCTCAACAGCGGCTGACGCACGCCCACTGAAGGAAGGGACGATAGACACGCGAGAATGCCAAACATGTGCCCGCTAAGGGTTGACCAAACGGCCAACTAGGGCTTGAACTGAAACACCGGTTCTGCAATAACGACTGCTCCACGCGCCCAGGGCACTGGCAGCAAGGATACGGACGACGAAACCCAGCACGACAAACAGCAAAGTCGGGGCCACCTCCGAACCAACGGGTACAACGGCCAACTGTTCAAAGAAACCACACAGCGCCTGCAATAAAGGCCAACACAAAGAGAGCCTGGCAGAGCCACGGAGCGCTGCAAATGCAATCAACTACTATAAAAACGCCGCCAGCAGGGGCTGCTTCCAGCCAGCGTTTTTTTAAGTAATATATTCCTAAAAAGGAATAAACAGGCATTTTGGCCTTTGGAAAAAAGGAATGAATTGAGCCGACCCGTACATTTTTAATCCTCCAGTGAAAAACGTCCACTGCTGCAGTGTTCGGGCCGAAACGGAAACCTGCCGAAACGGAAACCTGCCGAAACTAGTTTCGGTGTTTCCGACGAAGAGGTCCTGGTTAAGCAGCCCCTCGCACAATCGTGTCCGGTCGTACGGTGCCAATAAACCCTCCGTACAAGACGAAAAAGCCATGAGCGAATTTTACCGCGCAGATGCGCGCGTGCGATTCTCAAAATGCGCATGTACAAGTGTATGTAATTTTTTGATGAAAGGCCGCGGTGTGCCGGCGCGTTGCGCAGTAGAGCATGTTGGCCACAGTCGCACGCGGCATGCAGGCCGGACTTTTGGGTGGCTGCTTTGCCGTAACTGAAAGCATACAACTTAGCTTGCAAGACTGGGCTCATAAAACGGCCGCGGGAATTCCCGCTCATCAGATAGTTGATTTAGATTTAGCAGGAGTCCCTCATATGAATTTAAGAATTTTTCAACTGGTACTTGATAGTAATGAATTGCTTCAACAGCACTATCAATAGCGGTTAGGCCGCAACCTATTATTACTACTGGCATCCTCAGGAGCAAATTGCTGTTGCTTTGCTCTAAATAGCCACCGCCTTGTTGCAAATTCATTAGAAAATCAGCAGCACTTTTTACTCCTTTAATAAAATAAGAAGCTGAAAATATATATTTAGGTTTTCCTGCTCCTAGGCATCATGCTCTATGATCAAAACCTGTGCCGGCCGGCTGCCCTGGCTCCAGCTGATAAGCTTCGCAAGGGCAACAGATGCACGCCCTACGATGTAGCTCACCTCTACAAAGCCATGCAAGATCAAGGAGTGCTAATAAAAGACGTCTACCTTGCTCCCGGCATGACGGTTCTCATGATAATTAACATCCTGGCACCTCCGCGAGTCGCAGACGGTGCCTTGGCAATCGTCCAGGACATATCCAAATCCTGGCTTACGCTCCATATCTTGGACTCCGAAACAGTCATCCGACTGCCCCAAATATGCAAGGTCAGGTTAGCGCATATGCTCGCAGTCGTGGCGGGTTTCGTGGGGGCAGCGTCTGTTCAATTTTGACCCTGTCTATAGACGATTAAAAGCTTTACGGACGAGTACAAATGGTACACGGAGACAGCATTGCTGATCCAGACATTATTGACTTTGCAAACATGAACCGGCTAGGACAAGCATACGTAGCGCAGTTACGAGTTGTGGACATTAATCAACTCTCCGTCCTGCCCGTCGAACAGACGCCCAACATGTCCAAAGCACACTTACCCCCCTGAAGATCATCATGCTGGCTCCCTTGCCAGTGATGGCACATCCCCGTTCTCATCTAACTAACCCTCATTCCATAGACGTTACTCTAACAGCGCATCATGCCGCTGACGCAATGGGCATCCCCGTTCAGGATTACGTCGCCTTGGCTTCCATCTTCCTTCATCGGCTAGCGGTGCAACAGGTCGCAACGATAACAACCGAAACCTGGACGATGACAGATTGCAGCATTAAGAAAATAACCTCAACGTCATGTCCATCATGCCGTACGGAGGATGCTCAAAGCTCATTGCTGAACGGTGACAGCATTCGAACGGTTTTTTCGGGAGAAACCGGCGACGGGCAAGCAACGAGCAGCTTTGCACTTGCGTGGAATGAGCATGTTAGAAATCGACCTGATGACGGAAAAACAAGCATGCCAAAACAAGCATGCCAACTCATGATCTGCTATGGAATTGCCAAGCTCGGAGCAACTTGCTATGCTGACCAAACTGAACGTACAACTACCACCGCAGCCCTTTTTGACAAATGTCGGCTCGCTTTTTGTGATGTTATCTCTGCGCACTTTACTTGGTTACACATTGTTGGCTTCGTCCACCTCTGGCAGATCCTCTGCCTGGAGCAGGCCAGCGTCCTCCGGGACCAACTGATTCCCAACCGCCTTTTTTGCTGCCTTTTTGTCAGATCTATGGCTCCATGGCCTCTGGGTCCGACGATGGCGGGCGTAATGCTGTCATGGATGCCTACAACACACCGCAGGTGGAAGTCCACACTTTGCCGAGGTATGGGTTGTGGTCGTAGCACAGGCTACAGCTGGAACCCCAGTCCCTGGCTCATGGAGCCCCGTCACCAAATGGAAGCACGTGTGGGTCAATGGTGTGCCATTCCAGGACTGGCCGTACGACTAATGGGCTGGCTGCATCCCTCCTGACAACATTCTTCCAATCAGTGTCTTCCGATTCCACCATCCAGTTGTCTTCTGGTTGAGATACTGCAACCACTAAATGCACCACTAAACTACCTAACCCTGCGTTCCCCACTCATTGTTCTTGCTGCCATTGCCCTGTGAGATTCTGGGGCTCCCGGGGAACCTCGCTGTCCCCACACTGAAGAGTCGCTTCCGAGGCTGTATCTATGTGCTTCTACACGCCAGCAGCACTACTAACTGTCGAAAACATTAACACCGCATGGGCAACCTATCTATGCATGTTGATGCATCGACATAAACAATTTTGGCATACGGCATGCAGCCGCCTTCTTGAACGGCAACAACCCCATCCTGCAGTGTTTTTAGTTCGCCATGCGCACCTCCTGACACCTCTATGCAGTAGCTGTTTCCTGTCGTACTCAGGGGGGTTACTAATAGCAGCTACCTCCAGCTACATCTGCAAACTGGGAAAGAAGCTTTATTTCTGGTGCATCCATCTATCTATCCTGCGATATAGCCCGTCCGCATATTTAGCCAGAGTCAATGTGTCGTCTAAAGGTTAGATATAGATGGCCCAGCTAAAAGCAAACTCACCTATAACCTGCTGTCTATAGCCAATTAAGTCTGTCTATAGACGGTCGGAACCGTCCATCATTATTTTTGACAATCAGCAGATAGATCGATTTGTCAAATAGTAGATGGGTTGTCTACCTTGTGGCGCAGACAGTAGTCAATTGACTGCTTCTTGCAAGCAGCACGCACTTTGCCTCATCACCAGTCCTCCCTCTCCATGCAGCCAGACACCCCAAACATTTTCACCACACCTTCTCCTACATACTTCTAAGTACTTCTCCATTCCGACAAACACCTCAAGCACCTCGTAACCTTTCCTAGAGTCGTATGTGATTCCATGACGTCATGCGCCCATCCTGGCCCGTTTTCTGGATCCCACTTGGTGCATTCTCACTGCCATCGTCACCGGGGTACCAAAACCCCGTCCATCATCACCCATCACCCTCAACATTCATCTCAATGACTACCAGCCAGCAGCATGCTCGCTTAAAGTGGCTTCTTGTTGGGTGTACCCGCCTGGCGAGGAAACCTTGCTGATGTGGCGCTGGTCTTGGCCACCACCAAGGCGGTCCGCGGCTCCCCCTCTGCGGAGAGAGACTGCACCCGCTCCAGTGCCAGCTGACGACCCCCCAGCTGGCGAATAGCATTGGAGGCCGCCGCCACCTCAGCCTGCAGGAGCAGCAGAAACAACGGTTTCCAGCAGTGGCAGTGGTGGTAGCAGCAGCACCACCACCAACAACAACTGTTTTAGTTATTTACATATGCAAACAAGATACACATTTACAGATGATGATAGAGGGAGGCGCTCACTACAAATCATCACAAATGTGTCACCCAATTAAGTCCACCCCCCACACACAAAACACGAAACCCCCAAAACCTGCCCACCTCGGGATCGGGCCCTTTGGCTGCCACCCACAAGCCGCCCACTCGTACAAACGGCAAACACAGTTCGGCCAACACACGAGCCTCCGCCACTGCGCGTGCAATCGCTATGTCGTACGCCTGCCGAAAGCAAAAAAGCCGCAGAATTCTTGACATACGGCACGCTAGGTGGACACGGCTGCAGTCGCAGGCCAGGCCATGGGAGGACAAGTAGAAAACTGGTTGGGAGAGGTTTCATGAGTGACAGTGTCCGGCAATGGCACAGCTTGTGAAGGGGAAAGGGGCTAAGATAAAAAGGGAAGATGACCCCAGGAAGGCGTAGGACATGGAGACAATGAATCTCAGAGGGAGAGAGGGAGAATGGACTGTTGGCACCACCATGGCGGCACAGAAAACCATGTATGTATGTTGTTACAGGGTGGTATAGCTCCACCAGCGGCCCCCTTTCCCGACTTCAGAGTGTATTCGTTGGGTTCAGCAACTCACCACCAGCATTCAACCAAACCTAGCCGATCAACGGCGCCTCAACTTAGTTCCTGGTCAGCTCGCAAGTTGATATTATCACGTCCTACACCGTCCATAAGATGGGGGGCCACCTCCCATTTCAAGACTCCTCAAACACCCGGGAATCGGCACGCGAAATTTGAACCCAGACACTCCGGGAGCAGAAGTCAGGCCTTAACCTCTGCCAGCCGCCTGCCATATATGCATGTCCCTAACTCCAATTACACACGCGCCCCAAAGATGCACACAACACGTATACTCCTGTCCAACACACCAGGTCGTGTTACGTGAGAACCAAAAAGGCCCCCAAGACACATACATACATACATACATACATACATACATACATACATACATAGGCAGGCGGCTGGCAGAGGTTAAGGCCTGACTTCTGCTCCCAGTTGACCCAGTCGACCCGGGTTCAAATCCGCCTGCCGGCTCCTCGGGTGTTTGAGGAGTGATGAAATGGGAGGTGGCCCCCCATCTTATGGACGGTGTAGGACGTGATAATATCAACTTGCGAGCTGACCAGGAACTAAGTTGATGCGCCGTTGATCCGCTAGATTTGGTTGGATGCTGGTGGTGAGTTGCCGAACCCAACGAATACATTCTGAAGTCGGATGGGGTGACGGATTAGGGTGCCCCTCTAGCAGGGGAGAGCAGGGACTGCCCCGGGAAAGGGGGCCGCTGGCGAAGTTAACCACCCTGTAACAACATACATACATACATACCCCAGCGCCAGCCGCGGTCCGAAATGACGTAATAACGCACTCCAACCCGAACACCCGAACCACCCCACCCCACTCCGAGACACCCCACGACGCCGCGCCCCTCTACCCACCTGTCGGAGCTCGGGCCTCCTCCCCGCGTCCTCCGCCCTGCACCACACCACCTCTACGTTGTCCAGCCCAGCCCGGGCAGCCGCCTCCCGCAGGAACTCACATCGCTTGCGGAGAGAGTCCAGCAACGTAACCTATGAAGTGTTGGAAAACGGTTAGTAGTGGTGGTGGTAGTGGTGGTGGTGGTAGTGGTGGTGGTGGTGGTAGTGGTGGTGGTAGTGGTGGTGGTAGTAGTGTGCCTTAATGAGCTTAGCCCTCCCCTCCCCCCCCCTCCCTTCTCCAGCCGCAAGCAAGGTTCATGTAGAGGGGCCAGTGGGTAACTCATTGGCTCCCTCATTGACGGAGACCCCCATCAGCACCGCCTTACCTTCCACTGCGGTCTCGCCACCGCGAGCACCATTCCCGGTAGCCCCGCCCCCGTTCCCACATCCAGCAGTCGAAGAGCAACGAGTGCACTACCACCGCCACCACCAGCAGGAGCGCCACTCGAGGACATGCTGCTGCTGCGGCTGCTCCTGCTGCTGCCGCTGCCACTGCTGCTGGTCGTCATGCTCCTGCTGCTGCTGCTGCTGCTCCTGCTGCTGCTGCTGCTGCTGCTGCTGCTGGCAACATCCTCAGGCACAGCTGCCGCCGTTGCTGACGTAGCTGCTAAGGATGGTGTTGCTCTTCCTCCTGCACCGGCTCCTGCTCCTGCTGGTGGTGATGGCAATGGTGGGTGGTACCATTTCTCAATGACGGGTAATAACGCCAGACTGTCACCTACGTGGCGCTGCCAGGCCTCAGACTTATCTCGGACGGCTACGGGGAAGGGGGAGAAGCGGAGGACGGGAAGGAGAGAGGAGTGACGGATGCGGGACGTGGACATACAAACATACATACAGACTTACACACACAGATGCAACGGTGATGAAGAATTGTAAGGAATGTAGGCTTGTAAGGAATGTAGGACTGTAGGGTCAGGGGAAGGTTTTCGGTTAGGACTTGCCAGTTAGGTTCATGTTCTGGTTCACTGCCAACAAGTAGTCTAAGTAGATCTCCAACTGCCGGCACTGACGCGGCGACAGATTGTACCGCTGGAGGTCCGGCAGCAGATCTTGTGGATCCGATCGCGGAGCTAGATCTGGATCCGGATTTAGACCACCGCTATTGGGGGCCGAAAAGGTGGCGGCAGCTGGGGCCCCTGGCTGGGCGGTGCAGGCGGATGGCGCTGAGGTGGCGGCGGATGACGGCGGTGGTGAAGAGTGTGGTGATGGCGCTGAGGACGCGGATGCGGATTGCTGGCTATTGCTGGGGTGTACAGCGGCGATGGTGGGGTTGGGGGTGCGTGGAGGCTTGGGGGTTGGGGACTGCAGTGCTGGGGTAGGTGGTGGTGGTGATGGTGTGTGGGGCTGCGCACGTTGGGACCTGCTGGGGTTTGAACGGGCCTCGCCGGTGGCATTTCGCTGTATGGAGAAGCATGCGCTGACCTGTGAGGTGGGAGGGGGGAACTAATTTTATGGTGGTGTTGGCATCGCAGGTTACCGGTAACCTGATATAGTCGGTCAGGACTTTGGAGACATGCAGAAACGCGACATATCTCTTTATTTTATTAAGTTGGCGTCCTCACCCTTGCTGCTTGGTTGTGAGCCAATGTGACAGTCGCACGCCAACGCGCCGCCTTCGCTCCACTCGGACGGTTAATCCATTGCCCATACGGATTCATACTTTGAGTTGCAAAAGATGACTGAATTGTGTTTCGCTCTAATGTTTTCATAGAAGTGTTGGGTGCCGCCCACGCAGCTTTGCCACCAAAAGCTTCTAAACACTTTTTAAACTTGCTGCATACATTATAGATTCAAATGGAATTTCATTTAGGTTGGGGCTTTTTTTCTAACAGGCGACTTATAAAAGCATTGACTAGTTTACTTGCAACGCATGTTTTGTGCTTGTCGCGTAAGCTTCAATCTTTGTCCTTCCGTAAACGAAACTTGGAAACCAAACATCCAAATGGTATTAGGAATAGCATGCACCCCATTAGGAAATGCACCCCAACGGCAGGCAGTGCACCCCAAGTGCGAAGCACGAGCAGATCAGACAGCAGCATGCATGCACAGCAATAGGTTTGGTGGTTTGAGCAGCAATCATCGCATAGGTAATTCAGCCCTAGGTCCATCGGTCGCATCATGTGCGGTGAGATAATCGCTCGTAGGAGGTTTCGTACGCCTCCCAAAATTCATGTGAGCCGCTCACTGCAGCGAATGTCAATTTTGCATGTGTTGTTTTGATGCGCTTGGGCACAAATTTCATCTGTAGCTTTAATATACTTGCGCAGCCGTTATGTCCGCGGTTGTTAGCCAGCTCACAAAAGAAAGCCATTCACATCACCGGTAGTAACGTTCGGTAAAACAAAGTTAATGGCAAACATGGTCACGTCAGGAGGCATCACGGGGCTTGCATCCAGACAACAGGTCTCCGCACCACGAGCATTGCCACCCGTTCGCTCACCGCACGCCGAACGCCTTACCCGAAGCACCCGCAGGAAAAAGAGGCACGACGGTGAGCTTTTTCTCTATTGAGTTTCAAATGTTCGCAATTCCACTGACTTATCCGACGATGCCGAGTCATTTTACCAATTGAGCTACTGCCACGCGTGTTGACAGTCCAATGCCCCGTGGTGCAAACCATCCTTCACTCAGGCTCGCGGAGTGCCTCTAAATCATTTCATACTTGCGCGTCTGCTTATCACTCCTCAGCCAGTGTTGCCTACCTCCATGCACGCCAGGCAGTGGTAAGCAGAAGCGGCTTAAGGGTAATTCAAGTCCTCAAAGCCGCAAAGAAGCCGCAAGGACGGAAAAGTGGAGGGGAGAAGCTAAACCAGGGGGTTATGAGGGGATTCGGGGTACGCACGTAGGATTTGCAACCCCTGGATTACAACCCCTGGGGTGATCGGACGGTCGCTAAAGCTTTCAGTGAGTAGTGAATTACTGGTACGTGATTTTCGTTCTGGTCCAATCCTGGGCAAGAGGAAGAAAGATCCTTATGGGCAAATCGTGATAATTGGAGGTCGAAAGCTGCTGCTTGTTGAGTGAGTTAGGCAAACATCAACACCGAACAAGCACGGCAGGCGCTGACGAGAGTGCAAAGCAAAGGGAACTTCTCTTCGAGGATGGCGAAAAGAGACGGCCAACCCACCCACCCACTACCAACCACCCACTACCAACCACCCACTACCAACCACCCACTCACCAGTGTGTGTGTGGTGTGTTTTTGTACACTTTCGACGGAGTTCATTGGTAACTGGCCTAAGCCCAAGATCTCCAAACTCCAATTCTCAAGCTCCTCTCCGGCCATTCCATCACCCTCCCATGTGCCTTCAAAGGTAGCGCATGCGGGTGTATCGCCAGTCACATCCGCCGCCGCCGCCGCCACCGTCAATGGCGAGCCCTCCGTACAGGTCATCGTGCTCGTACCCAAGGGAACCCTGCCGCCGGGTAAGGCCCGATCAAAGCCCCTTTTCCGGTTTCACTCTTTCAACTTACAGCAGGTTAGCAATAACGGTAACAGCAGTAGCTTTACAGTTGTGTTGGCGATAGTAGTACACTCCCTCATAGCCATACCCTCTCCCCCCTCTCTCCTCCTGTCGCCACTCCCCATCAAAGAGCCTCCCCTCCCGCCTCTCATCTCATCATTTCCCACCCCGTCTGGACCCTCATCGTCATTTTCAATTCCCCGCTCCCCCCCCCCTTTCACACGTCAACAACCGCGCTTCTGCACCCACCCCCCGGGACCCCAGGGCAGCAGCTAGTATTGGTGGGGGGTCACCGGGTACTTGGCGAATGGGATCCCTCCAGGGGCGCTAAACTGGTTGCCAATACGGCGGGTACGGCACACTCGGTGCAGGTGGAGCTGCCAGTGGACAAACCCGTAGCGGCTAAGGTACATGAAGAGCTCGTGTCCGGAGGGCGGTGCTTGATGGGCGGTTTCATTGTTGTCTGGGGAGGGAAGGGGGAGAGCCTGGCCCTCCGTGTGTTGGGGGGAGGATGTGTCAGCGGTGGTTGGCTGGGTGGGTGGTTTGGCGGGCTGCAGTCGTCGTGTTTGGTGGAGGGGTGTTTGGAGGGGTGTTTGGAGGGGTGTTTGGAGG